TTAGCCAGTTAGCTACCGTGGGCAAATCTTTGTTTCAGAGAGCACGTGGTGTCTGCGACAGTAATCATCTGGCAGGGGAACTTCAACATATAAAGCAAGTCCTACATGCGAATAAGTTGAAGATTCCACACCAATGCCACAGGCCCCGTGTGAAATCACCAACAGAATCAGAATCAGAATCAGAATCAGAATCGTTTATTGTAACAGTCGAGCGAAGACCTGCCATCTTGCCTTACGTGAGAGGTTTTACAGACAAGATCGGAAGAGTCCTCAGGCGCGCATCTATCAAGACCTATTTCAAGCCCCTGAGGAAGATTTCTCAGTTCCTGAGACCCGTGAAATGTAACATCCCCTTACAGGATGCAGAAGTTTACAAGCTTGACTGTGAGTGCGGTCTCTCTTATATTGGACAAACAAAGCGAAGTATTTGTACCCGCGTCAAAGAACATATGTATAGCTGATGTCAAACACGTCGTTTAAACAAGTCTGCAGTATGCGAGCATGTCATGGATAAACCTACACATTCAATGAAGTTTGACAAACCCCAGGTCCTTGCAAATGAAGTCCGTTATCTACCCAGGATGCTGCGAGAGGCCATTGAAATTAAAAAACATCCTAATTTCAACAGGGAAGATGGTTTCTCCGTACCACCAGTTTGGGTTCCAGTATTTCCTCTAATGAAAAATCCCAAACAGACATAAGACTGCAGTACTAATTAATATGTTTTAGTTTATTCTAATTTCTATTAATAATTATTCATTCAATAAAATAATTTGTAAAACTTAGTAAAGCGTAAATTGGAATGTTTTCTTTGTAAAATTAAAAATAAGGTATTTAATTAACTACTGTAACTATAGTGAAAAAATAGGTTGGTTTGCATCAATATTAGACATAACTGGTTAAAGACTGTACCACCACATTCAACCGTGACTATGGGACCTGTAAACCGAAACGTCGGTTTGTTTGAAAAAACAAATATACGCGATTTAAATCCGCAAAAATAGTTTCATTTCCTATGTGTAACAATCGCGAAAACCTAAGAACTCGATATATACTATATATATATATATATATATATATATATATATATATATAGGTCAGGTCGTATCACCTACCGTAATGGTATGACCTAACGTCAAACAGAGTCCGTGGGTTCGAATCCTGGTTCGCACCTCATAATTTTCAGAGCATATGTGAGAATTTAATTTGAAATTTACAATGAGCTTTTCGACGAAGGAAAACGTCGTGATGAAACTTACAAGTTAAAAAAGTTCCACAATCCTCGGAAAACGTGTGAACCTGCATTGGACCAGCGTGGCGGTCAATGTCTTATAACCTTGCCTGAGAAGAGACCCGTGCCCAGCAGTAGGACGTATAGATGAGTTGATGATGATGTTATTTTTTATTTATTTTATTTTAATTATTATAAACATAACAAAATTTACATGGGCATTTGTGAATGCTTTTTTCTAAGCGGAATAATAATAAATTGCTTGCTTGTTGTTGGTGATGCATATTGTATCTATATAATTCGAAGGATATCATGGAATGAAATAGGGTAAGGTTGCGTTGGGCGTACCCCCTAAGAAAAAACCACTGTAATATTTAAGTTTATTTAAATTAAACAAAACCTTTAGCGTCTACAGGATCTTTATTTAATAGGGGTTAAAGTATGAAATTGCCGATTTGTACTGAAAATCTAAATTGTTTATTTTTTAAATTTTTAACAAATTTATTTAATCAAAATAGTTGCCATTATTATCTATACATTGCTGCCATCTAATGGGAAGGTTATTAATGCCTTTGCGATAGAACTCCGACGATCTAGACTGCACAAACTGTGTGAAAGCATTTTGTACTGCCTCCTGGGAAGAAAACTTCTTGTCACGTAGATAATTGTCTAAATCACGAAAAAAATGGTAGTCCGTTGGAGCAAGGTCTGGTGAATACGGAGGATGACGAATGGTTTCTAACTGCAGTTCCTGAAGGGTCAAAATGGTTTCTCGTGCTGTGTGAGGTCTCGCGTTGTCGTGGAGCAATAATGGTGAAGATCGATTCATGAGTCGGGGCTGTTTTACTGCTAGTTTTGTCAACATGGTTCGGAGTTCGGCACAATAGACATCTGCCGTTATTGCTTGACCAGATCGGAGAAAACTATAGTGAATAACACCATGCTGAGACCACCAAACAGTTACCATTACCTTTTTATTGGTAAGTTTTGCTTTAGGACACTGTTGTGGCATTTGACCGGATTTGACCAGCCATTGCATTTTTCTTTTCCGGTTATCATAAAGAATCCACTTTTCATCACATGTTACAATTCGATCCAATATTCCTTCATTTCTGTACCGGTTCAACAAGGCAACACAAGTTTCAACACGCGTTTCTTTCTGCAGATCAGTCAAATCATGAGGCACCCATTTTTCGTATTTTTTTATTTTATTGATTTGACGCAAGTGAGTCAATATTGTGGGTAAGGTAACGTTAAACCATGCCGCTAATTCCTGGGTAGTTTGACTAGGATCGGCTTCCACTATCTCTCTTAATTCATCGTTATTCACCTGTGTGGGCGGTCTTCCTCGTGACTCGTTCTTTAAGTCGAAATTTCCATCACGAAAGCGTTTAAACCAAAATCGCACGGTGCGTTCATTAGTAGACCCCTCTCCAAACGCAGCATTGATATTGCGGGCTGTTTCTGCCGCGTTAGTTCCGCGTCGGAACTCGTATTCAAAAATCACTCGAATTTTCGCAGTATCCATCTTTCTTGTCTAAATTGAATAACAAAAACAATTGAAAGTCGATATTCAAATGTTTCAAATTAAAAAAAAATCACAGAAACCATTTGAAAAAAGTTTCATTCGAAAACCTCAAACCATGAAGATTCTATGAAAATTCAAAGAACCTATTGCAATAAAACGGCAATTTCATACTTTAACCCCTAATATTTTACTATCAATGTGTTTTAATGAAAATACCAAAAACGTTTATTGAGTCAGGTATTGACAAGAATTTCAAAAAGTATCTTTGGCGTACCAAATTACTAAATCGTAATTTAGGCACCTGGTCACCTAATTCGTATATAACACTTCAGTCAGGACATCATAAACTGTATAGTACAGTACTAATAAACAGAGATCATTATAACAATTAAAATCTAGAAACAGGTACTAAGGTCTAAGGTGGTTAAAATCAAATAATTCTTAATATTTTTGAAGGGAGAGAAAAATCCCAAAATCTCAAGTGTAAGAGAATACAGAAAACAAAAATTTTAAACTTTTTAAATTTTAACTAAATAAAACTAAAATTCTCTAGAAATGAACTTGCAAATTCTATTGAAATAAAATTAACATACTTCGGTAATCAAATAAAGGCATATTATATAATACAGGCACTACAAAATTAGTTTTGTTGAACACAAATATCGCAAATATGTAATAATGAAATAATTTTCATAAATTCCTAAGTCGTACTGGTACGATTAAGGAATTTTCCACTCGTACGACTTAAGCAACGAAACTTTCAAAATTTCAAATCAAAATTACTGTTATAACATATAAAGATCTGCCGTTTGCTTGTGCTTAAATAAATGCTAAAATACGTCAAAAATAGACGAATACCAAAAAAATAAGTTTACCACCATATTGCTCCTTGGAAATCTTGGAATAGCTTCCGAATTAATAAGAAATTTTAAAGAAAACAGTGCAAAAACTTACTTTTTCATATTTTTCCAAACACGAACGTCGGCCGGCCGCCGGTTTGTTTTTGTTTACTCACTTAACTTAATAGTTCACATTTATATTATTAGATATTACTGCCCAAGCATGTGAGACCAGATATCGCTGGAGTACGACTTAGGCGGTGGTACGACTAACGCAACCTTACCCTATATAACAATTTTGTTTTTAAGATTTTGGCTTAAATACAAGTTCTTTGGGCTAGGTCTTCATTTAGTTCATTCGAAATCCTCAATAAATAGTTTCTTTTCTACTAAAGACAATACATTAGGTACTTTTGACTTTGATAATAATGTTTCTAACTTGTAGAATGGCAAAAAGAACGTTGGGTATCTTAAATAGTCTTTTAAGCGGCGGGTTCCATTGTCTATGTTTTCACTTTCACTTAAATCACTTAGTTCACTTGCTAATAAAAGACGTTGACTTTTGAACATGGCTAAATAGGTATTTGTTCTTGTATGCTTCCATTGGTTCTTCTTCCAGAAACTTTTCCAAAATGTTGTCATATCTTTGCTTATACACGTATCCGTACTATAACAATCGATAAATGATATAACATAATCTTCATTAAAAATTTTAAATTTGAAAACTTTTAACATTCTTTCACCTCAAATTTCAGCCATTTTCTCCAGTCATCAATATACCAATACATAGTGTTGTGACTGCATGTTTTGTTGCCATAAAAAAGAGTTTTTAGCACCGCCAACTTAAGGCTCAACTCACACTGAAGCAGAGAGAAGCGTCGCGACGCGTCATGTTTTTCGCCTAAAGTATACTCATCTCTTTTTTCCCATCATTAAGGTACAAATTCGTGTTATGCAAATATGGAAACGCTTGGATGCAGTAGCAGAGCGGCATCGCGCGTCACTTGAGCGCAGTGAAGCGTCAGACACCGACCACATGGTGCTCAAGGGCGCACTAATGCGAGTGTCGACGCGCGTCTCCAAGCGTTGTAGTTGAAGAACAGGACGCGACGCGACGATTCGACTCTGCGCCAGCGTGAATTGAGCCTAATATGGTCCAAAAGCAACTTGACAGCTATTAATAAATAGCGTTACCTCTGGCCATCATTAATAAATCTACCATAGACACAGTTTATGGGCTACAAGCTTTCAACTCGATAAAATCTGAGTAAATTCTCAATAACTTTTTTATTTCTTGACTTTTCGAGCTTTTATTGAAATATCTATGGAAACGTCAATAGAACCCTATTTCGAATCAGGTTTTTATTTAACTAAAATAATTTTAGAAACTTTAATTTTCGACATGCCGTTTCACTGGCTTCCTAATTTGCGTAATTGTTGTTATTGTATTACAAATCTGAGAACTGCGACGATCGTCATTGCTGTTCTTGGCATAGTCAGTGATTATTTTCTGTTCAAATATGCAAAACACGATAACAAAGTTTCCAAGCACTTACAATGCAAGTAAACTGAACAAAATATATTAACTAACGAACTTCGCACACCGAGTACCACGTTCTGTGGCGCAAGGTTGAGATTACTGTCAAAATGTAAGAAAACCGTGGCACAATCGGTGTGTAGAGCTCATAAAATGTATTGTAGACCTGCTTGTGGAACAAAGTCTTATGTTTTATTCTTGAAACACTATCCAGGAGTAGATTAAAGGATTAAAAGTTCAGTTTTCTTCAGCAGAGGGAGGATATTTGTGAAAGACAGTTTCTAAACAATACGAATATTAATAATGTTCTGGTTTCAGGTAACGAGTCCCGCCGTGTCGTGGTCTGTTGTTCGACATGCTTATGTCATTCGAGTCTCGTGCTACGTATCCACAAACGAAAGTAAGCCTGACGTCATCGATATTAATTTAAACAATATGGTAAGTACCCCATGGGGTTATAGTTGATATTCTGTATCCAGAAAGTCCCTTAAATTGCGACACTATACTGTAACCTGGAGTATATTTCAGTATTTCTTAGTTACTCTAGGCCGCCAAGAGCATCGAAGGAAAGTCATTTTGCGATCGTATAGAGTCATTTGCGCAGTACTGGTATACATGTAACTATGTTATAGGAATTCTGAATTCGTGACAACTGCGCGCACTTCACGAATGGTTCCAGCGCTAGGGCTTTAGCCCTGGTATTCCACAATGACAAATTCATAGTTGTCTTTTGTTCACAGCTTAGTTTTGGTTTTGGAGCAAATGCAGGTCTGGGACCGTCATGTTTGTATAAATCTTCAGTAGAGAACTTATCTTCTATAACTACATTTAAACTTGATGACCGCGTCAGTACCAACCACGGTGTTCTCAAAATTATTATGTATATTGGCTGGGTGGTATTGTTAGGAGACTTAATATTTGTAATCTGTTGTATAGTCTTCCTCTTCAAATTGGCAAAAGTGAGATTTTTTTCTTGTATTTATTTTTCTGTAATAACATTATTTTCTTTTATAGTAACTTTTCCTACATAAATCGATACATGTCTATACATTTTCACCAGGTACAAACTAATCAAGGGGTAACAAGATACGTCAGAAGTATTATTGAAATTATTTTTTGTGAAATATTAGTAATAATATATTGCATTATATTATGGAGGCTTCGTTAATATTGAGTCATATACTTTAGTGTAATCAGTTTCATTTTTACCTATATGTTTTTCTACTGACTTAGCCCATGAAAACTACCAACAATTTGCGAAACCCGTATGACAATGGCGTTGGGCGTTTGTTGATTCGTCACACCAGAATTAATAGCTTAAAATCGTACATATAAAAGTGATCCCGAAGATAATATTATCGTGTTAGTGTATGCTGTATGTACAGTCGGTACCAAAATTCGTTGAACACTTTTATTTTTTCATTACATCTTAACTTAAAACCTCTAAACAGACGTCGAAGTCAAAGTTAAATTACTTTTTCTATTACGTAAAAAGGTTAACCAATATAAACAAATTTAAAACGTACTGTTCCCGCTATTTGCGTCAAATGCGTTTTGTAGTCGACATGAAATGAAACATGACAATTAAACGAACTAATCAACGAAGTTAAAAGTCAAATAATAACAACTGTCACCCGACAAGAAACTTTTCCATATTGCAAAAAGATTGATACTTAATGAATTTAAAATTATTTTGGCTTTGTTATTAGAAGACCGCTTATTTAATTTCATCGTGGCGTCCGTTCAGAAAGTGTTTTGGAATATGTTTGTGTTAGGTTTGATATGATATGAAATCAAAAATTATCAACGCCCTGTTGACATTATCTTTATAATGAATTACTAAAAGCAATTAACATTAAAGTGCTTTATGTAAACTAGATCATTACTTCTAACTTCTTGAACTGTTATAAAATAATGATGCCATTTTTCATCGAATTAACTGTGAATTTTTGTTGCGTAATATCTAGAGCATTGATTTTTTCTTTTGTTGTAACATTGTATTAATTTTTTTTTTATTTCAGGGACGAGAAATGACATTCCTAAAAGCATTAATGTGGACCTGTATTGTCGCAATAACCCTTACATTCATATACGGGTTGATGTTTGTCGTAACATGTTTAGTGACTGGCGGAAAATTTCCCGTGTTCGAATTCATCTTCACATTATTCGACTTGGGCAGTAAGTTGTTTCTTATTTAAGTATTATGCGTATTTAAAGTTTCATTTCATTTAAATGAAATGTTTTAGAATCTATTTTCATTTTGTTATATAATTTCTTTTTTGAGTTACTGATGGGTTATTTTAGTACAGTCGTAATGTACCTAATGTTTTTGAATTTTCTACGTGATTTCTTCTTAACGACCTGTTCAGCAATACTACCCCTGTAAACTTTGATATGGAGATCTAATCGTCGCAATATATATGAAAACATATTATAGCTGTCACAAATACTATTTAAACTACGTTTTCAGTTTGGTGTATGTGGGTATATTATGTCACTGTACTCAACAGTTATTTACACTCACTCAATAAACCGATTGAAGAAGAAGACACTAATCCGCCCAGTACATACAACACCGTAGTAAATTTTGACTTCTGGGCATGGTATTACTCTAGACAAGGTTTCTTAGATCTGATTTATCAATGGATATACGGGTATTGTCACTTTTTTAATTTTATGTAATTATTTTTCAGTTTGGATCTACTTTTTAATAGTAGTTAATTCCTACAGAAGATCGGGTATGCGGACAAATGAGAATGCCACTACGTAACGTCAAATTCTGCCAACACAATATCAAATATTGAAGCTAAAAATGGAACACCCGGTTTGGTTAAAATTTTAAACTATACTTACAGGTATAATTATGAACATCCAAGCCAATTTTTAACGATACTGCACTAGACGTCGCTGCTGGGGCATGTAATTGGCATTGTGCACTACACAAAAAGAGTACCTACAAGTTTTGTTAAAAAAATATCTCTCATTTTTTATTTGCTCGACAAGTGGATGGTGATCTTCGTCATCAGCGATAAATGGAACAACAAAGTGTAAAACAAATACCTGTACATTGTTAATCTCAAAACCGTATTCACCAAATATGAATTTTTGAGATCAAACAATATTACTTACATAAACTGAAACCGTGAATGATTGATCAGAAATAGTTAATATGTAACTTAAATTATAGAAATACATAGGTAATATGAAAATAGCGTATTATGAACTTCTTAAGTGAAACTAGTCATGCCGAATGTCGTCGAAGTATTTACTTATATTTATAGATGTATTTTTTATTAACTTATGATTACTTAGGATATATATATATATATATATATATATAAAGTTGGCTATAGAACTTAAGGGTCTTATTCTGGGAATCAAAATTAACAACTTGTATTCTTTTTTTTATAAATGTGCATTAGACATTGTTGAATTTATATTATTGCTAAAGCCTAGAGAAGCCTAGAGAACCTAATTCTTCCCATACGCAGGTAGACAGCATTGGTTTCACACATAGATAGGTACCTACGTGTTTAGATATTTTATGCATACTATAATTTACTTTTTAAATAATAGATGTTACAATTTTAATAACAATTTCAATGATTTTTCTTTATTACCTCTATCTTCTTGTTTCAACATTTTTTTATGATACCAAGTGACGGGACGAACTAGTCCTCCGCCTGTTAGTAAGCGACACCCCGGTCCATAGCAATTGCAATGCCACCCAGAGCGTTCAATTCCAAAGATCTGAGGGGCTATGTTACCGCCCCCGTCATCCTGAGACATAACAAGTCCCATGCGCCTGTAATTTCCACAAGCACTCTAACCGTTCAAAGCTGGAACACAATAATACTCACATTACTGTTTGGCAGCAGAAATAGGTAAAGCGGTAGTGCTTCTCTGGACGAACTAATTCACAAGGAACTCTACTGCACTAAATATTATGACAGAAAATAATGTTTTTGATCTATTATACAAACAATAATAACGCACACACTCAACGCCGCACTATGGAAACCCTGTGTCGCGGGTGCCATGGACACACATTGACTACCACAAATTACCCCCAAAACTCACGAGAGAAATAAATGTAGGCCATACAAATGTTTGTCCCGACACAGGAATCGAACTTGGGACCTCTGCGTTACAGTCGTTTCTAACCGTTCGGCCACGGAGACAGAGGAAGCAAACACCCACCATAACATTGACGTCATTCGTAGGTAAGTATAAACTAAAAACGCCCCGTAATCATTATCTAGTGTTTCTTTTTTCTCAGTTAAATAATTTTTTTACTAAAAAATATTTAAATTTTACTACTGTCCTCCAAAGTAATCAATCAATACGTGAAATTCTTGCGAGTGCCAATTACACATTGCCCTGTTTGTTGACCTACCTATGACTTCACTCGTTCTAAATAAACACGAGCCCAAAGGCTGCAATTTTTTTATTATTTTTTTTGGTTTCACGACTTTGAAAAGCTTTATTTAAACAACATAATATTTTCGTTGGCTGCATTCCATACCCGATTCCCTATTATCAACGCTCCATCTCTATAGTAGTACCTATTTGTACACCGTGCGTTTTCTGTTAGAGGTTTTTAAAAGCCATGGCAGCCTCATGGTTTGACCTACAGCCTGTCAAGCAGAGGCCGAAGGTTCGAATTCGGGCTCACATCTCTGAGTTTCGAAATTTATGTGCGAGATTCAATTTAAAGTTTAGCATGAATTTTTCGATGAAGGAAAACTTCATGATGAAAGGTTCACAATACTCAGAAAACGTATGAAGTTCCCAACCCATCTCGCTTGAGAGGAAACCCAAGTCCAAAGGTGGGACGTGGTATAGATGGGTTGATGTTGATGGTGATAAAGGTTTTTGTATACTTTTGCCTCCTGCTCATTACAGCTTTTGGATACTCTAGAAATTGCGCTTACGAGGCAACGATACCTACGTCTAATAGCGTTAGGGCGCATTCCCATTATGTCGTAACGTTTTATTTATCGTTGGACGACTGTCGCGTCTAGCCTGTTCCCACTAAATCGTAACGACAATTTGTCGGTTCACAGCAGCCACCTAGTCGTTTGAACGACAGGATCGTTTGAAGCTGCGATTATCTGTTGTCACATTTTTACCGTGACGTTTTACTTATCGTCAGACGACTGTCGTTTTAGCTCTTCAATCGTCGTAACGGTAAAAATATCGTAAACGACACAGTTAATCGTGTTGTTGTATGTGTGAACAACTTCATTTAAATATAGGTACAAGTCACGATACTTCAAACTGCACGACTATCTGTCGTCACGACATAATGGGAACGCGCCCTAACGGACATCATAACAAATAAAAAATATTCATTTGATCTCATTTTCATTTATGAAATATATAAAATAATATAATAACTAAGCACTGACATCTTAAATGGTCTTCACACTACGTTTGCTGGGCCGTGCGTGCGAAACAACCTGGCGAGATATGAAACAACGATCATTAAACAATGATCGTTGTTTCATATCTAGCTTCGTTTTTGACAGATGTTACCACGAAACGTAGCGAAACTTACAACCTTAAATTTAAAATACAAAAAATAGCATAAAATGTAATTGTGCTGCTCTGCTAGCACAATTATATATAATTTTGTACCTACACCTTACCTAATAGACTTTTAGAACACAAATCATTGTAATATTTTAAAACTTCATGTAATTATCTATAGTTATGCAATAAATGTATTCTTATTCTTATAATTTATTATACAATAATATTGTTATAATATATTTATAAAATTTATGACCTGCAATCAACAATAAATTAAATATGTACATAATATTTATTACTCATATCAAAGATTATGTATTAGATTATTATCATTTGCATAATTAAACTAAACTATGCCTGCCGTATTGCTTATTTATCACATAGGTATTCCTTGCTTAATCAATAAAAAATATTATTAAATGTAATTTTAATTTACTTTTTATTTTTTTGTCTCTAGCACTTTGCGGTTTGATTGATTCACGGAAAATATTGGAAAAAATAATAAGTTGAAAGAAAGAATTAGCGAAGTGGGGTTAAGATTAAATAAAAATATATGACTCATGGTAACAGTATAAAAATATAGATAAATATATTTATAATATGACAATTAGATGATCGAACAAACTGTACGATAGATAGAAAGGAAAAATACAACAAAAAGGAATATAGTAGGTATAGTTGATGTCCTCAATACGATCAAATATTATGCGGTTTAGACCACCTGTCTCTCAACTCTCGCAAATACCACTTCTACTTCTTAGCGTGTCGACTCTGACGTTTATATTTGTGAGGACCAGAGACCAAAGACCACTGTTTATGATTTTACACTAGTTTATGAGTCGGACACACCACCTCAGTCCACCACACCAGTCTCATAATATTGTTACCAGCTTCCCAAAATTAATTTTTTTATATGCCTGCATAAAACTCACTTTGTATAGCAAATTTGAAACTTAGTTTTATAAGTTAGACTTGTGTACCAAAGTTTATTTATGTTATTTACTTATTATTTTACAATGCACTTTTTCTCGATAGCTAAAAACGACTGTGATTAAAAGGCGCCATAATAACATGCCTAAATTTACCTGCAGAAGTCATGACGCTAAGTCAATATACTACGTAAACAATAGGATTACATTTTGTACCATGTTCCTAATATTCTACAAATAACTAGGCTGAATATCGATAAACTGCTGAAGCCAAGCTGTCATCTTTTTTTTTCACAATTCTACAAACTTACTATTTTTTCAATAGTGTAGCCTCTAAGACAAATTTGCACGCGCAATGTTTTTAGTTTTATTTCCGCAGACTTAACACAGTAATCGTTGACATTAGTCAGGTCAAAATTCTAAACTAGGCTTCGCCTGCTACCTGTAGATTTGGTTTTTTTCATGCAAGTTTCAAATTCGTGCATATCGGTAGTGTAATTTGAATGGATGCCAAGAAAGCGGCTTCACTTGCACCGTTATTTATGCTTTGAAAAACATTTTTCATAATTGTTAATCACACAATGACTGCTGGGCGCTGGGCCTACCTTTTTTTAATATTTGGCACTTCACATTTATTGCTTGTGCTACCTATATACTAAATCTGTGCTTGTGCTACTGCAAAACGAGGAAACTAAAAACGGAAAATAAATAACACATAGGTATGGCTTGGATTTTTGGACTGAAAAAATAAAAAATAAAACGTCAAAACATGTCAACGTAAATAAACGTATCTAGTAATAATTAATTATTTTGTTAAACTTGCAAGGCATAACACAACAAAATTATCGTAGAAAATATCTATTTTAATACCAAATTTCATTAGAAAAGACATGTTTATATGGATATGTTGTCCTGAAGTGAAACGGAGTTGTTGCTGCGCACGAAGTTTGAAACTTGGCACAGCACTTATTTGTATTTGGGCGATTGTAAGTCAATGATATTAAATTGTTTGCTTAGCATTAACCAAAAAGCCAAAGTCATTGTGGTTTTCAAATGTAAGGCCAGTGCCACATCTTCTGCTAAGTTTTGATTATAATGCCATCCCTACCCAACCTTTTAGTTATACGGAAAGGACAGGTTATCGACCTGTGCAAGCAAGCCTGCACAGGGACCTTATCAGTCAGGTCCTCACCCCAGATCAACCCGTTGACACAGATTTCGCCTGGTTCTCAAAAGGCCTTGGCTGAGCGCCCGAGAGCACGTAGGGGAGAAAGGGGCACTTTTGAATATTTTTTGCAGTTGTAAAATCCTAAATCGTTATTAATTATTTGTTTAGTTAGTAGTTAGACCTATTATTAGGCTATAATCATTCATGACAAGCACGATCAAAAACTTTGTCAGAATCCCCATTTTTGTGAAGGAACTCAAATGTTCAAAGTTGCACAACTACTGGCTAGCTAAATCCATAATCACAGGCATACATTTAGTATATACTAAATCTATGATCACAGACATTGACACGACTACTACAAGAAAAAATGTTTTAACGGAACCGAAACTCAATTAAGGTTTAAATTATTAACTGCAATATAAAAAATAAATAAAAACTTAACTTCTTCATCTTAAATAATCAATTATGAAATACAGGAAAAATAACTAAAAAAAAATGAACAA